ATTTTAGGCCATTCTTTGTTTTGATTTAAAAGTTTTTCAAAAAATAATTACTTAAAAACATTATCTTTTGCCTGCGACCATGCAGCAGATATTGTGCTTCAGTAATTTAAAAAACAGCTTTAATTTAAAAAGAAGAAATATCTGAATTGGCCGTTAAAATAGAGGCCATTATACTATGCTAAAAGTTAACTATATAAACTTTGCTTTAGGTTAACTGGTTTTTGTTCAAGGAGTTTTGTAGCATCTCTTATATCGTTCCATTGCTTCAGTAAAATCTGCTGTCATTGTCTTCAGCTCATTCTGTAGTTGTCCTATTTTACTACGAACAGCTTGTGCCTCCACCACTTTAGACTGATACTCAGCTAACAGACCTAATATAATAATAATAATAATAACGATGATGATGATGATGACGATGATGTTACTTTTAAGTCTTTGTAGTTTCACAGTGTTTGCTGTATTGTTCAGTTGTTGTGCTGACTCTGTGAGCTCATCAGTTTTATTCAATGCAGTCATACTAGCATTAACTCTTAGCATTGCTTCATCTTTTACTGAACTCACATTAACAGCAATAGACTCCATCAACTATTAGAACATTAATTGTCATGCAAGTACTCCCTAAACTCTCATACCATTTGTTCACTGGTTACATTGCTCAATATTTGCTGTACAGCATTATTTAAACTAGTGGCATTCATTGATGCAGCTTGTAGTACAGTCTCTCCTTGTGTTAAATCTCTTTCTTTATCTTTTGCAGTCTCACTAAGTGTGTATGTATCAGGAACTGACTGCACTGTCTCATTAACCTACTCATAGGTGATGTCATGATTCAGTGATTATAAAGTACCTCTCTTAATGTAGTGTTGATTGATTCAATGTTTCTGTTAGTCTCATTGTGAGTTTGTTCTGCTGACTCTAATCTTCTTCTTGTCTCTTTAATATTGTTTGTCAAATTACTGACCTTGTACTCAAGATCAGTTACCATTGCACTATAAAGCAACAATAGAAACCAATAAAAATGATGATGATGATGATACCTTGTATTCATAGCTCCTTCTAATGCCTCCATTGCTGCTACAACGCTGTTATTAGCATCAGTGAGTAGGTCTGTTATATCACTGTCCGGTATTATGCTGGAGTTTATGTTAGCAGCCAGTTCTGTTGCTGAAGAGAGTGATGGTAACTCTAGTGAGCTAATGTTTGTTGCCAGCTCATCAGATTCAACTAGTTTGATTGTAGAGTTCATTACACCATCCTGTGCTTTATTGATCATCATTATTAATGACTGAGCATCATCCATTGCTGCATTAGCAGAGGCCTAATAATAAATAAATAAATAAATAAATAATAATAATAATAATAATAATAATAATAATAATAATAATAATAATAATGTATTTTTAACTCACCATTAATGCACCCACTGATACTACACTGTTGTATGATTGCTGCTTTAAAACTTTAGCTGATATATAGAGTCCCTCACTTAATCCTAATGATAAAAATAATGATAATAATAATGATGATGATGATAATGATGATGATTCGTGTACATTAGAATGGATTATACCTGATAGTGTGTTCAGTTGAGTCATTAAGTTGTTAATTTTATTATTTAACATCTGAATATCAGTATCAAGATCAGTATATGATGTATCACTTGCATTGATGTCAATCTCAATATTTCTCACATCTTCTTCAATATCCAACAGTGTATCATTAATTACTGATATATTCTTAATAAAAGATCTTGTACTATCGACCATTGCTTGTGCAGTGTGGCTGGTGATGTTTGCATTGAGAATAGCCTCTTCTTCCATACTAGCATTTCCCTGTAGTGCTAGTACCAAGTTCATCAGTGAAATCACTTCATCTCTGTATTCCTCCAATAGAAGTGATTGGTTCATGCTTTGTCCCAGCAGTAGGTTCAGTGTGTTGTTCAGTGATACTAAACTAGGATGTATCTCAGTAATGGTGTAGTTCTGGTATCCTGAACTTGTTATGTTTTGTATGTATTGCTCTGCCAGTCTCAGTGTGGCATTAGCATCCATTATGGTTGGATTGAGTAGACTAATATCATTCATCAGTGATGTATAATTATTAATAATCTAAAGAGAGAGAAATAGTTAAATTTAAAAATTTGTAACAAATTAATTTTGACTGGAATCAGCTCAAACTTTCTACACAACATAGGAACATGTATATGCATCAAAAACTTTATTAGTACTTTGAAATAAAAATTACATCAAATTTGTCATAAAATAGATTTGTCACTCACTTCAGTTAGTATTGCTGTAATGTTATTAAATATCTTAGTATCAATACTTTGTTGCATCAGAAGTTCCTCAGACATTGTCAGTGTCATACTAATGTTATTAATGACACTACTGATATCAGACTGAGTGTATCCTTCATAATAATGGAGTATAGTGAGTATCCTTGTTGAGAGGTCAGTAATGTTCAACTGCAATGATGACAGTGTGTCTGACCAAATGAAATGACAATCATCACATTCCGTACAATTTGGAGCAATACCTACAAACAATGACAATAATAATATTAATGATTACAATACTATTAATTACCAGTAAACCCAGTTTGACAAGAATCACATTTTGTTCCAGTTCCTTCAGGCAGACACTGACAGTGACCCGTTGAATTACATTGAGCTGATTCTGACAACATTCCACAATCACAAGCTGCAGTATTACCACAATTTAACAATTATATATTTTTTCTCAACCCTTACCTGTACAACCAGTAATACTGTAATTATAGTAACCATGGATACAATCACAGCAAGTTCTGTCTAACGTAATGTCATAACAAGGACACTGACCTGTCTCCTATTATTATTAATTATTATTAATTATCATCATCATCATCATTATTATTATTACTTTATCACATTTCGTATTATTAGTACAGCAGTTACATGGTCTGCATCCTTCATCAGGTGATCCCCACAGTGTATCCATACACTCACTACAGTCTGGTCCAGTAATGTTTGGATGACATATACAATCTCCAGTTTTAGTGTCACACCTTAATGTACCACTGGCAGAACAGTTACATTCTAGTAATGATTGATTGATTGATTATTGTACATTTCATTAATTGATTCACTCTCTCATACTTTGACATGGTGTTCCATTTGCCGGGTTGCCATAGTAACCATTGGAACATTCTTCACATTGTTCTCCGGTAGTATTATAGAGGCACTGGAGACACACTCCAGTTGAAGAGTTACAAGACAGTCCTGGTAACGCTGGATCAATATTACCATTACAGTTGCATCTGCTGCATGTTCCATTGTCCTCCATAAAGTATCCATCAGAACATTCTTCGCACTGGTCTCCAGCATAACCCGTAGAACAATCGTCACAGATACCACTTCCATCGTTTCCAAGGTAACAAGTTGAGCTCCTATTGTTGCAAGAGCAAGGGAAACAGTCCCCTCCATTAGCGGGGTTACCATAGTAACCAGGGATACAGGTGTTACAGCCGCTATCAGGAGACACATGCTCCTTACACCAGCAGACACCAGTGCTCCTGTCACAGACCCCACTGATAGTAGCATTGAGGTTACAGGAACAACCTGGAGGGGATATTGATAATCATGGTAATGGTGATAATAATATCTCACTTTTGCAAGGTACTTTCATTTCAACGTTCCCATAGTACCCAGTGATACAGAACTGACACTGGGTCCCTTCAGTGTTGTTAGTGCAGCCTGAACAGTGACCAGTGGTCTTGTCACATGATGATCCAAGGGATATATCAAAATTATCATTACAGGTGCAGTTACTACACAATCCAATCTATAGGAATATCATTAATAGTATTATTATTATTATTGATTAATCTCACTGTAGCGTTTCCATAGTGACCATCAGCACATATTTCACACCTATCCCCAGTGTAGCCATCCTCACAATTATTACAAACCACACCCCCAGCCCCCTCGTGACAGGAACTGCTGTGACTGTTCTCCTCTGTGGGGCAAGGACACTGGAGACAGTCTATACCATTTATCGGGTCGCCATAGTAACCATCAATACATGTAGTGCAGTGGGCTCCAGTAACAAATGGTTTACACACACAAGTCTCGAAAGGAATGCCAGGAATACATGGATTGTCAACTGATTGAGTACCATTGATATTGCACTCACAAGCTAAAAGTAAAATAAATAAACAATTAAATGAATGAATAAATGAATAATTAAAAACTCCCTTACGTTCACAAGGTTTTGAGTTAATTACATCTCCATAGTAACCAGGTAAACATGTCTGACACTTATCTCCTGTAGTATTATTGAGACAGTTTATGCACTGACCAGTGGACGCATTACAAGAAGGGAATAAAGATGGATCAGTATTACCATTGCAATCACACTTTATGCATGTATTACTCTAAAAACAGCAACAACAATAATACTTTATAATTATTATTAATGATATATACTAACCTCATTATAGTATCCATTGTCACACTGACTGCAGTCTGTTCCAGAATAGCCAGTACTACAGGACTGGCATTGGTCCCCTTCAGTGTTACCAGTGCAGTTTATACATACTCCAGTTGCTGGATCACAACTGTCAGCATGTCCATTACAATTGCATGGAATGCACAAGTCCAACAGCACTCCTGATGGACGATAGTACCCATTCATACATTCATCACAGAACACTCCAGTGTGTCCAGCAGGACACTCACAATGTCCTACAGTATAATCTGCTCCTGGATCTATTGAAGTATTTCTTCTATCAATTGTCTGGATTCTGAATCCTTGGAAATAATTGATTTCAATGTACATATTATCCTATAGTTATAAGATTCATTTACATTGTTAGGTGTTATATAAATACTTACAGTAAATTTAGCACTGAACCTAATATCAGTGATATTGGTCAACACTGATATGAACTGGTATGGTGTTGATGTGTTACTGCTATCATAGTCTTCTCCTAATCTCCAATAAGACTCTACCAATGGTACCTATAGTTGAATTAATAATAATATCATTATTATCATTCCTTACTGTTATTTGATTTCCTTCTACAATCATCTTATGAACTATAGTCAGGCCAGACCCATTGATCCTAGGATTATATTATCATTACACTTTATTGATTGATTGTACTTACCAAATAAAAGAATCAATTCTTTGAGAAGTGCTGGTAAGTTGTATATTTATTATAATATTAAGTCCATATGACAAGTGATAATCATCATGATATCTATCAGGAGCTATGAACACTGGACTAGCATCACCAAATATGGTATAAGACAGACTATCTGGATTATTGAATGTATTATTATCATCATTAAATGTCCATCCATCAGTACAGTCCATGTTTAATGGGCAAAGTTCAGTGAAATTGGACTGTACATTTCCCTGTATGTAATTACTGCTGTCTGGTTGACAGGTTTGAGAATGGTTGAAGCAGAAGCAAGGCAGACAGAGAGACTGGTCACTACCCACTGTCTTATAGTGTCCATTGGTAGGGCAATCATTACACTGTGTCCCAACAGCAGCATCTTTACAATCACACTGACCAGTGACATTATCACAAGATAGAGAAAGACTACCTCTTGGATTACATTCACAAGCTATACAGCCAGCATCACTGATGCTGTAATGATAATCATCACAAGATTCACACTGATCCCCCATAACATTAGGAGGACAAATACAATCTCCATTAGTAACATTACAAGATCCATAGGTACAGTTACAAGTATCAATGCAACCAGAGGAACTGAATACGTGATTCGATGAAGGGCAGGAATCACATTCTTCTCCAATTACATTGTCTTTACAAACACATGATCCAGTATCAGTGTCACATGCAACATTAATGGATCCAGTGCTGTTGCAAAGAAATGGACACTCTACGATACAAATAAATAAATAAATGTAAGTTAATACATAATTGTACTTACCTATGCATCTTCCATTAGTATTATTATAGTATCCATTGGAACAATCAGTACATAAAGTACCAGTGTAATTTGATGAACAGCCCCAACTACCTCCATATGGATCACAGGTATCACCAGTAATGCCAATACTGTTAGGTGATCCACACTCTAAATAATAATTATTAATAATTAATAATTATAATAATACTGACCGTAAACTTCTCCATAGAATAATAGAGACAGGTTAAAGACGTGTGGGTGACAGTATTGAGGATTTTCAAGTTCAGCAATTAATGTTAAGCAAGTTATAGTAGAAAACATTTGAACAATGGGCAAACTATTAATGTAGTCAGTTTGATCAGGACTTAAGACTACCTGTATAACAATAATAACAGTAAAATGATGATGATGATGATGATAATAAAGTAATACTGAAGATAAAAGCTTACTGAGTCCAGCATCCATTCATGCCCAGTAGTAGGATAATAATTAACTGTTATATTATAAGTTATTCCTTCCTCAAAGCAGTGTACACGAGTGTTGGGATTGTAGCCTTGTAAACTGAGTAATGTTAGCATTGTTGAGTTATATGATGTCGGAATGGGCTGAGATTGATTAACACAATCAAGAGATTGTGTTACATTCCTTGAACTTTGAATTGATACAAATACGGAATCAATATCAATAGTAGTCTAAATAAAACATTAATTAATTAACAATATTAATATTTTACTAACAGTGTATCTCAGTATCACTGAATAAGGTCCTGTCTTATCAACTGTCATACTAAGACCTACTGTTCCTCCAGTAGCAGGGATTCTCACTAATCCTTTACCAGTATACCGTAATGCAGTATCAATAGGATAGTAACCAGTGATACCCTATAAACAATGAAATAAACTAAGTATTATTATCATCATTATCATACCATGGATAGTTGGCCATATTCAGCTTCAGCAATGTTGTGATCCAATGCTCTAAAGTAGTAGCCATTTGCAGTTTCATTACACTTGTCTCCAGTAACTCCAGTTTTACAGTAACACTGACCAGTAACAGAGTCACAGGACTTATTAGTGGATCCCATTTCATTGCATGAGCAACTCTTAGTGCATCCAGAACTAATGTCATAATACTCATCCTATAAAAGAACAACATTATGGTATACTGTACATTTGTATGGTGTGCCAGTATTACTTGGCATTGTTGACAGTGAGTCCCTTTATAACTTGAAGCACATTCACAACCTGAGTACACCTAATGTAATATAATATCAATAATAATGAATATCATTAGCCACAACCACACACACACACACACACACACACACACACACACACACACACACTTACTTTGTTGGTATGATTAGTTTCTGTTCCTAATGGTTGACAGTTTTCAGCACGTCCATTGCAATGACAAGATCCATTGAGACTCAGTTCAGATATAGCAACGAATGCTCCACAGTCAGTATCATTAGTAGCATTAGTAGCTGCAGTGACATTAAGAATTGATAGTCTAACGTTAGTGACTAATTGGTAACTGGGATCAGAGAAACAATGGGAATAGACAGAAAAGGAAACCTATAACAAAATATAATAATAATAATAATAATAAGTATAATTATATTGATTACTTCTGATCCAGGATAATCTGCAAGATCTGTATCAGTGCATATTGGATCAGTGGTATTCATTATATCAGTATCATACACTGATATTGAACTCATGTTAAAATCACTGCTACAATCAGTAGACCAGTAGCGATAGACACTCCAGTTGAGCCCATAATCACTTGATCTCTCCAGTATCATGCTGCTAGGGGTAGGGCTCTCCCACTGGATGTTAATGTCATGCAGAATCATGAGGTTAGTCAGGTCAAGTGTTATAGTAACAGGAAGGTCTGGATCGACCTCAGATATCCACATGGTGTCGGTATTATCATCACTAATGAGGCCAGAACTGTTGCTTGTACAAGGTAGTAGAATCCCATTAGGACAATAACCTCCTGAACACTCTGAAGATATATTCAGGAGCCTACCTAGTGTCAGGTCCCCACTGGGAGTGGTAACAGACTCACTGGGAATGCATTGAGGACTTGAGTTTAATACAAGAGAAGAAAACAAGAGAACAGTCAAAAGATACATTTTGAAGACTCTACACCCACTGATTCTGCAAACAAGGCGGGGCTCAGGAGCTAGTTATTAACTAAATTAAGGTGTGGCTGGTTTGCACTGCAAGGTCACGTGATCCGCCTAAAGGGAGAGTAGTAGTAAAGTTTTTATGAGTGTACTCTCCAACACAAGTCTCAGGTCACTGCACAGGATGGATGAAGATGAGAGAGATCCCCCAGCAGTACTGGACGTCACTTCAGTATCTCTAAATAGAGAGCAGGAGCCTCTCCTGAACACTTCTAGTGGCTACAACAAGCACTCACCAGGAGGAACCTCCTGGAAAGAAAGAGCTAAAGAATTCTGTTATGGAGGACTGAGAGGGAGAGCCTGTTTCCCTCAGTATCCCTCGTACGAGCTGGTTGAGAACTGTCCCTGTATCTTCACTCCATTCCATTACTTTATTAAGGACAGACTCCCAATCATCGGTTGGATAAGGAGGTATACTCTTAGACACTTGATATCTGACATAATCGCTGGACTGGCAGTCGGTCTAATGGTCGTACCACAAGCCATAGCCTACGCTGGTATAGCAGGACTGCCGCTACAGGTACATGTACATGTATTAAAGGGGTGGGTTCATTTGTGGGTGTGGCTCAATATAAAAAAGCAATGAAATCTTAGCAATTTTGTTGTTTGCATGCGTGTACATTTACATTGTACACAATTGTTCAAAATGGTGCATGTACATGTATGTATGTAGGTTTAATGTAAATCAAAGGAACTTCAGATTCATTCCTTTCATAATTGCCAGTTGTACAGTATATGGTACAACTAATAAAGTACATATTATATCTTTATAAGTATCTTTATAAGAGTATCTTTATTCCCTCCAGTATGGGCTCTACTCATCATACATGGGAGTGGTAGTGTACATGTTCTTTGGCACCAGTAAAGATGTTACTCTTGGCCCAACGGCCATCATGTCACTACTGACAGCTTCAATAATTGGATCCAGCGACGGGTCAGGAGAAGAGAAGGTTCCCTTAGCGATCCTCTTGACACTCCTCTCCGGTATGGTCCAGTTTATCATTGGAATGTTGAATTTAGGTACAGTGGGTGTGGGTGTGGGTGTGGTTATTATTAGTATTCTGCAGGGTTCCTCATTGATTATATTCCCCTCCCAGTCATCAGTGGATTCACATCAGCAGCTGCCATTACTATTGGCTTTGGACAAGTTAAGGTACATATTAACTATTTTAATATTTATTTGGTAAAAATGTTGTCAAGCAAAATACCTGACAAACTTTTTTAAAACTGATAAAACTTATATCTACATGTATCTATTTATCTCCACCCACCAGTCCTTATTAGGAATTACTAAACATGTCCGTCGTCCATTCATTCATTGTGTCTACGATACCTTCAGATACATCTCCCACTGGAGACCTTGGGACTTTGCTTTGGGAACTGTTTGCATTATAATCGTAATATTTCTAAAGGTAATCTAATCATATTATGCTGTTATTATTAATGATTATGACTTTCAGTATTTCAAGTCACACAATGAAAGGATCTTTAGTAAATTGGAAGAGACAAATTCTTCAAAACTTTATCACAAAATAGCTCACAAGTTCCTTTGGATACTGTGCACAGGTACATGATCAGCTAAGGACATGCACATGCATCAGGAAATGTAGTAAAATGGAGAATCTTCTCCTTTTAAATTTTGGCAAAATTGGGCCAAAGCCCCTGTACTATAGTTCAGGGACTTTGGCCCAATTTTGGAGCAACTTTAAAAAATCATAAAAAATCCAAATGTGATCGGAATCAGCTCAAACTTTCTACACAACATAAGAACATGTATATGCATCAGGAAATGTCATAAAATTGAGGAATTTTCTACTTGTCAATTTTGGTGAAATTTTACCAAAATCCCTGTACTATAGTACAGGGACTTTTGTCCGATTTTGGAGAAACTTTAAAAAATCATAAAAAATCCAAACTTGATCGGAATCAGCTCCAAATTTCTACACAACATCAGTACATGTATATGCATCAGGAAATGTAATAAAATTGAAAAATTTTCTACTTGTCAATTTTTGTGAAATTTTACAAAAATCCCTGTACTATAGTACAAGGACTTTTGTCCGATTTTTGAGCAAATTAAAAAAATCTTTAAAAATCCAATCTTGATTGGAATCAGCTCAAACTTTCTAGACAACATAAGAAAATGAATATAATATATTTCTTTATTATGATTGTATTAGGTCGTAATGCTGTCATTGTTATATTAGCTGGTCTCATTGGTTTTTCTATTGCTGAGTCTTATGGCTCTAAGGATCAGGACTTTCTGTCACTCGTTAACTATACAAAGGATGATGGAATAGAACTACCTCCTGTATTTATACCAGCATTAACTATTGCAAATATTAAAGTATAATAATAATACTAATAAATATAATTATTGTTATTATTATTAATGACAGATATTAGGTACAGGTATCATCATAGCACCTTTTATTGGATTCCTTGAAAGTATTGCTATCTCTAAAGCATTTGGTAATTATCAATTAATCAATTATTATCAATTAATCTATTATTATCAATTAATCAATTATTATTAATTAATCTATTATTATCAATTAATCTATTATTATTAATTAATCAATTATTATTAATTAATCAATTATTATTAATTAATCTATTATTATTAATTGATTATTAGCTCGTCAGAACAACTACCTCATCAACCCAACCCAAGAGCTGATAGCTCTGGGCCTCTCTAATGTCGTCAGTTCATTCTTTGGGTCTTATCCAGTCACTGGGAGCTTCTCAAGGTTAGTTAACTATTATTAACAGTTAATTAACTTTTATTATCATTAGGACGGCAGTTAATTCTCAAAGTGGTGTCAAAACTCCAGCAGCAGGAATAGTGACTTGTAATTAATAATAATAATAATAATAACATTAATTCATTAATATTCATTAGGTGTTGTTGTCCTGTTAGCTGTTATTGTTTTTTCTCAAGGATTTGATTACATTCCTAAAACCTCCTTAGCTGCCATCATCATATCAGCAGTAGTGTTCATGATCGACTTTAAAATACTCTACAAGATATGGACAATGAAATGTAAAGTATAATTATTAATTAAATGTTAATTAATTATTAATTATTAATATAGTAATAATGGAGAACATTCCTTTACTGGTTTCATTCCTTGGTACATTAGTCTTAGGTATTGAGGTAATTAACTAATTAATATTCATTAGCATTAATTAATTATAATTAGTATGGTGTTCCCGTGGCAACCGTTCTCTCTCTATCCATCCTGTTGTACAGGCACGGACGGATCAGACATGATGTATTAATTATGTTGTTGCTATGGTAACCAATATATCCTTATTAGGTAATAGTGAAAGGGAATGAAATCATTGTCACGTTTAATGGCGGGTTGACTTACCCTGGCTCTGAATATGTATGGAAGAGAATTAGAAATGAAATTAATGAACTCTCACAATCGCTCCCTGAAGGTGAGAGATATTAATACTGAGAACGTTTTATGAATCTTTATCCAAAATTGGCCTATTATAATAGTACAGGGACTTTGGCTTGATTTTCCAAAAATTAATATTAGAGAATTCCTCAATTTAATTACATTTCCTGATGCATATACATGTTCTTATGTTGTGTAGAAAGTTTGAGCTAATTATGATCAAGATTAGATTTTTTATGAATTATTAAAGTTGCTTTAACATTGGATAAAAGTCCCTGTAATTGTAGTTCAGAGACTTTGGCCAAATTTAACGAAAATTGATAAAAGAGAATTCCTCAATTTTATTACATTTTGTTATACGGATACTATGTACCTCTAGTTACTACTCTTGTGTTGGTTGCTTTGTTTCATTAGTTAGCTCATGTAGCGTGTGATTATTGTTATGGATCAGTTCATACAATTATTTGAATTTTACTATCCTAATCTCACATGTCTTGTAGGAGAGATGGTAACCATGGTAACGTTTGAGTGCAGTTCAATGCCTGAGATTGATTATACAGTAGTTGAGGTTAGTCTGTGAGTCTTCCTTTAGTCTGCCAGTGAGCAGTAATGTCTATCATGACTCCATTGAAGTCTGTCTGTCTGGTAATTATTGTTATTCTTCACAGGGATTAAGGATTGGTTGCAATGAGTTGAAGGATAAAAGCATTAATGTGAGGCTGGTTCATGTCCAGGTAAGGACCTAGCTCTCTCTATCAGGAGTTCCTGTAGTAATTGTTGAATGGAATGTGTTTGTATAGTAGAGGGATAAGTGTAGTCCATCCTTATTTCTAGTAATTACACAAGCCACACTGTAGTATACTCCCTTTGGAGACAGAGAGAGAGAGAGAGAGTATGAATTGAAATGAAACTGTCTTTTATTGTAAGTACCAGCAGCCATTGAAGTGGTCCCATTATGATGGTGTGGTGAGGTTCCAGTGATTGTCAGCAATAGTTTATCAATAAATGAAAATGCTGACATTGATCATTGAGTACATGTACATGTACATGTAGCTATTACTAAAAGTACATGTACATGTACTTGTATCTGTAGTAGTAGTAAGGGTGGTCCTAACAAGTAGATAGTTGAATAAACATTAGGACAAACATAGTTGTAGGAGGGTCTTACAAGTAACCACATCTTAACACTCTACCTCATATACACTCTACCTGGTATACCCTGTACATAGAGTGGACTGTACTGGCAGTGCTGGTCCTCCTCTGGTCAGTGACCAGTGTCTACTAGGAGCAGTTCTCCTGACCAGTCCAAGTGTGTGTGTGGTTGCAATGTCTTCTCAAAGGAGAGCTTTAATTAATTATCAGTCTATCCATTTCTTTAATGTGGATATAGTGTAACATGCAGTATAGCCATGGCTTCACCTTTTACTGGTCCTCTCATATCTAGTGTCTCATATTATGGGATGTCTGCCACTATTATTGGTTACTATGGAGACATGTGTGTGTATTTTCAAAGGAAGTACACATACTTTTATTAATTAGCCTAAACTAATAATACACCTTTGATATTAGGATAGGGAGAGAGAGAGAGAGAGAGAGAGAGAGAGAGAGAGAGTGAGAGAGAGAGAGAGTATGGTAGTAATCATGATTGGAATTATTGTCCATGAGCTATTGACTTTAGTTGTTACAATTAAAATAGTCTAGTAAATTACTAATCATCTCTTGTGTATTAATAATAATAATGACTTTACTATTAAGTTTGCTTAAGATTGTGATCTAGTTTGGAGTCCAATTGTCTAACTAATTATTACAATACTATTATGGCCTACTTATCATTATAATGTACCTGCTCTTCTTTCTTCCCAGCTCCATCTCTTAGACACTTTAAAAAGAGCAAGACTACCAAATTTACACATAACTGCTAGTAAGTCTCTCTCTCTCTCTCTCTCTTTTAATAGTGATGGATAGCAACTTTTAAATTGTTTGTTATAATATTTTATTTTGTTTTCTTGTTGTTTGTTCCATTGGGTACATGAGAAATACATGTACGTGTGTAATTATTATTAATTAGATGGAATGTGTAGTGCTTGTTCAGTATGGTTTCTCTTTGATGATTGCTACACTCACTCACTCATGAATTAATTCAGTGTATAATATGTCAGTATAAACGCTAATCTAATGGCTATGGTATTTGAGTGTATAGGAATACAAAGGAATTCTTCCTCCTTTGCTAACCGTTGGACTGTATAATAATGTCTATCTCTAGCTTTATGACTAGAGGCACATTATTCTCTTGTTTTGTCCTAATTGTATTAATTATTATCTTTATTCTATTCTTAGGTATTGAAGAAGCTTAAATGCAACTTTACCTTAAAATTTGTTAGCGAAATATTTATTATAAAAATAATTTATTGCTGTTGCTAATATTATTATTATTATTATTATTATTATTATTATTATTATTATTATTATTATTGTTATTATTATTATTAATATTCTTGTTATTTGTATTATTTGTGATTAATAACATGCCACTTCAATACTGTACTTTTAGTTTGTGGGTGCAGTTGTTACACCCACGCATGATGTTGTGTCTATAAAACTGTTCCTTCACTAGTATTGTCCCAGTACTGATTCAACTGCACGTGTGTGCTTGTATCTATCGGCAGGGAAAGAGAGTCTACCAGCTAATATTAAGAGAGGCAGGAGGTACTGCTGTACTGCTACAGTGTTAACCTGTCCTACACTTCTGAGTTTCAATAGAGCTCTCTTGTAGATAAGTAAAGTTTGTAATTAAGAGCATTTTAACAGGAAAACAGAGGCAGAGGCTAAATAATAAAGACATGATGTCTGGTGGAGAGAACAGGCTATATCCGAACAGCAGCAGCAGCAGCAGTTCCTCTTCACTCCACAGATACCAGTTGAACGTGGCTGGCTCTCAACAGGACCCTATTGACTATACTCTAGGTCCTACCATTCCTTCAAGCAGCAGCAGTTTAGCTAGCAAAGGAGCCGGAAGCTCTTTCTCCCGTAGCTCCAGCAGTTCCAGCACTTGCAGTACCACGAGCAGTAACCTAATGTTGAGAAGGATACCATACGAGCCTAACCCGTCACCCCCAGCCACTGCTGGAGGCCTTAGCTCAGACGAGAGCCTTCAAGATGACTCTGTATCTATAGGAGAGGGAGAGGGAGACCTGGGGCCATTGACTGGAGACCAGAAGAGAATGAGAAGGATGCAAGCTAACAAAAGAGAGAGGAAAAGAATGCACACTGTTAATTCAGCTTTTGATGACCTGAGAGACCTAGTACCAACTTATCCATCAAACAGGAAACTCTCTAAAATAGAAACCCTCAGACTGGCCTGCGCTTACATAGAGGATCTTGCCAAGTTATTGAGAGAGTCTACTGGAGCTGCTGTTGTTCATGGGGAGGATGTGAACTTGCACCATCCACACCTGAACCCACCTCTCCCTCACAGCACTGGGGACACCACTGGGTTCCTACCTCCTCCTCGTACCTACTCCCCCATTAAGAACGAATACAACAGACTTCAGTCACAAGACTACAGCACCTGCAACTTCCAGCACTATAGGGTACCACTTTCATATGTAAGTACAGCAGCATCATTAACTTCATTATCATTATTATTATTGTTATTCATAGGATTACGAGAGCTGTCCTTCGGATCCTGAGATTCAGTCTCCCCCTACCTACCGTACAGGGAGTGGCCCTCCTGTCTCGTACATGTCAGCTGCTGGTGGTTTGGCTGTTAAGCCGCCAGCTCTAGCACGCGTTAGTTCAGATACTGCAGTTTCTCTTCAAATGGCACAAACTTCACTAAACACTAGTAGTTCAGGTTACTGTGGGAGTCCTTCCGTCACTCCGTGTTCACCGTTGACCAGAGTACAGCACTCGACACCATCAGCTGCTCCAGCGTCCCTCGTATCACGTAATAATATACCATCGTCACACTTTCTACCATCGTCCACCACTTCAAATTATTATCATCATCACAGCTTACCCACCCCTGGCTTCACGCAGTGCTACAGTCAGTGAATGCTCTTTCAATCAATTACCAGGTTATTATTATTATTGTTATTATTATCTTTGTTAAAATTATAATATTTTGTACAATATATTGTTATTATTTTTAAGAGAATTAATCTCTTTTATGATTTTTGTTTAGAATTATTAATTATTATGATAATAGCAATCAATAGACAACATTCACTTTACATAAAGTACAGTTAATCACTTTTAAAATTATAATTTCACTTTTTTGATATAATTTTTAAATATTCAAATATAATTACGTCCAGACAGTCTTCAGTGAATAGAGTCCCAGTGGTATATCCAGTGACAACAGTCTTATTGATGTAGTCAATTAACAAGTTTGTATAAATCAGTGTAAAATAGACTAACTCATAAACACTTCACTCTAATCTGCTGATCACTGCTATAGATACACTAGTGTCTGGGCTAGTGTTGATTGATGAACCTTCACACACGCTCACTCACTGAGTATAAGAATACCTTTATGATGCATCAATACAAAAGTACCTCTGAAATGAGGACACCTCTGTATAGAGGATAGGTATTAGATTCTAAAGTAATCCATTGATATACAAACTACAATGACAGAATGACCAAAACTATGAAAGATAAATCATCATTATGTTATAAAAACGGTTCATGTATAGTTACAAAGTTACAAAGGAGTATCATTAGAGGAAGCTTGAGGGACAGAGTGAGGATCAATCATTGGTTCATCTGTTTGACCAATAACGGCAGACAAGCTGACTAGCCTGTCCCTTCCACTGTCTGTCTCCTCAATGGCCTCAAGAGGAGAAGCTACCAGACCAGTCCTACTGCTAGTGGGAATCGTAGGAAATGATGGAGTCGTATGACGTCTCTGGAAAGTAGATCTCCTTCCCTTCCTCACCTGTAGTCTCTTGCGAAGTTTAACTTTCTGAAGATGATGATCAATTTCATCATTTTCATCATGAATTATAACATGATTGTAATGATCTTCATGAGGCTAATGATGATTAATAATAATAATAATAATAATAATAAATTATTAATTAACACACGTTAAATCGATTTGCTTTCAAAATCTCATCAAGAATAGGAACAGCATCTTCACAACTTTTAGCTGCTTCACAAACTTCATCATCTTAAAAATAATAATAATGACGATTATTAAAATATTTGTATTGTTGAATAACAATCGGCAGACAGTCTAAGATAATTTTTTTGCTACTATATTCCCTTTTATGGACATAATGCGAGACACATGTGCCCTCCTCTACTGTTACCATGGCAACTAACGTACATACATCTAAACATGTAACACATAGTGAGAAAGAGAGAGAGAAAGGGAGGGCCATTGTTTACTGGTTTATAATAATCACATTAAAATGAAGACAGTCGGTTATAATGAGTCTGTCTGTGTGTGTCCTTGAGTGTGTGTGGGGGTAAGGGTAGAAGGAGATTGGTGCATGCCCAGACGTACACAACCTGTTTTTAATAACAATATCCCTCTCTCTCTCTCTCCACCACTGGCTAATATAGAATAACAGCTACTCAAATGAAACAAGAACTGGATGGGTATACAGCAAATAGTAAACAAAGTGCATCAATAATCCAGCGACAAATAAGGACTGTTTATTGAAGGATTAAATATTTTAATAATTGCTCGCCGTGACCACAAGAATATGAATATGATTATAGTACACACCTATTGGCATTCTTAACTAAACCGCAAAATAAATAAAATTAATAATATTTAAATAAAGATAAAAATTACTGTATAGCAACTCACTCAATAGTCTGTGTTCTTCATGAGTCTAGAGTAGATTGGAAAAAAAAGGATATGAATTATATAAAAATAAACAAGTGACAGATGAAGATATACTAGTCTCCCTTTCTCTCTCTCCTACTCAGTTGGCTGTGTTTATAGTAAAAGGTACTCTTTGTAAGTAATCCTACACAATATGGCCACATCAAACCAATAGAACCAAAACCACAGGAAATACCTGTAGCTCTACATAAAGGACAATTATCAGTAAATCACTTTTGGAGTCATTTCCTTTGGTAGTAATGACAGGTATTGGATGACATAGACATGTAATATAATATACTAATAATATACTAATGATATACTAATAGTATGCAATAGCTGACAATATGTACATAACTGAGAAATGAAGACACAGAAACAAACACACAAACACCACACACTCCTCCACTTACACTCTACATGTACTCCAATTATTAATACATGTACTATAACTACAATATTATGTATTGTCTTGGTAGCATTTACTTCTGTATTGCAGTGATGAGATTCCACTTCTTGAGTTGATTCTCTATTAATTAAAAACAATTAAAAATAATTGAAACTACATCAACAAAGCATGTCAATACTAATGCGACAAGTGTGTGCATTAATTAGAGATACTATAGGATTAAATTGAATCTCATTGTGTGGATGATGAATCTCTCCCAAAAATGTAGCTGAGGTACACCACTATCCACAAGCAAATACAACAATATCTTAATATCACTTTATGTCTGGAGGTACATTCACTAAATAATCCAAGGACAGATGGGAATCGGTTTCTAAAAGTTGCTTGAGTATATCATTTGATATTCGAATACAATCAAAGGCAGCTGGTTCAGAATAAGCTCATTACACAAAACTAACAATAGTGATAATATTAAAAATATTATAATAATATTGAAAATTAATATTTGTTGAAAACAACCACGAGAAATATTGCAGGTGGACATATAAAGTGTAACACGAGAGATTGTTGGAATGTGATGTTTACTACGAGTAACCTACCACACTCTGTCCTATAGAGTGATTAATACAAGCAACACTCCATTAGAATACAGTCTGCCACACTCTGTCCTACCTCTATACTGAGTAGTAGCAGTGTACATGCAGCTAATACTGCTAGGTCGTAGTGATCACTCATACCAGCTCTAATCTCATTATCTTGATACACGAATATACTTGTACTTACTTAAACTGCAATTTCTTAAATTTGTTAATTATATCTCGATCTTTGGCCTCAGGAAATCTCTCAAATAGTTTCCGGAAATATTTAACATCAAGAAACTGTAGGATTTCCTTTAAATAGAGATCAATAGGGTATATATGGTATGTGTAGGTACCACTAATCTGTTGAATCCAAAGGTACCAGCAATATCCTGCATACCAGAATTAATGTGCTCCATTGTCTATGGTAATTAATTAATATCGATTAATTAACTATGAATATTAATTACATCATTATGAATGACTTCGTTCAGTGACACTTGATGGACATTCTCAATCTTAACTTTAATCATTCTCACTAGTGGCTTTATGGTGGTGCCCTAGGAGGTAGATATGGTTAGTGGGTGTGGTCAATAACTATGAATATTAATTACCTGTACAAAGACAGTAAAGAGGAGGAGGGCAGTGACTGCAGTGACCATTCGCTTCCTCAGAGTCCTCTCCCCCTCAGGAAGGGAAGACTGACCCTCTTCAAACAATCGTGTCAACGCCAGAGAAAAGGCAACAGCTCCTCTTAGGCCACTGAAGGACTTTATAACACATAACTGACCAATCAGATTGCTTCATTAGCTAACCATTATAAAGGTGTCCTTGAGTGTGATTTTATGAAAGCGGAGCCTATTAAGGAGCAGAGTTAAGACAAACGTACCTAAAGTGGGTGTGGTTTTAATAAGCGGGTGTGGTTATATTGAGTAGGTGTGGCCTACCAATAGGTCTGAATATTAATGTCAGTACAATGGTCCAGAGGACAAGACCAGTGTCCCAACTGTGGAAATGATCATCATAAAGAGCGATACCAAGATAAAGGAATATGACCATCTCCGCCAACACACTAAATTAGTCAATTAATTAAATTAATTAATACATTCGTTAATGTTTACTTTATCATTTTCAGGAAATACTTAAAAGTGATGTTTGACTTGAATGACAAGTTTGGAGGGACGTAGTGCTTGACCATTATTGCAAATACAATCAAACTATTATTAATTAATTAATTAATTAATTAATTAATAATTAATACCTTATTATACCAGAGAAGGCAAAAAGGTCAGCGCATAAATATGACAAATAACCCAAAACGAACAGGAACACTGGCTCAAGAACTAACAGGAAAAGACAGCATAAGGGCATGTATATGTATTAGAAAATGTAATAAAAATTTGGGGTGATTTCGGAGCCATTTTTTGGAAAAAACCATGGACTATAGCCTTGGGTATTTTTCAGAATTTTGGCATTTTCTTAAAATGGCCGTAACTCGAAAAATTGAAGTCGGAATCAGCTCAAACTTGCTAAACAGCATAAGGACATCAATATGTATCAGAAAATGTAAAAAAATTTGGGGTGATTTTGGAGCCATTTTTTGGAAAAAACCATGGACTATAGCCTTGGGTATTTTTCAGATTTTTGGCATTTTCTTAAACTGCCGTAACTCCAAAAATTAAAGTCGGAATCAGCTCAAAATTGCTAAACAGCATAAGGACATCATTATGTATCAGAAAATGTAGTAAAAATTTGGGGTGATTTTTTGGCCATTTTTTGAAAAAAACCATGGACTATAGCCTTGGGTATTTTTCAGATTTTGGCTCATTTTTTAAAATGACTGTAACTTAAAAAATTGAAGTCAGAATCGGCTCAAACTTTCTACACAGCATAAGGACATCAATATGTATGCAGAATTAATATTTCCTGTGTTATAATTACCATGAACGTGATGGGTCAATCTTGTCAATAAGCATGTTATTATTCCAAAAATGAATCCGATTATTATACTGGCAATAACAACAACAAAAAACTGAGCAAACCCAACAGCAACCTAGAGACAAGAATAAAGAACAAGAAGAGAATGGACTCAGCATTACATCAACTCCAATATTATGAGTAGTCTCATGATCAAATTCAATATTAGCAAAAGCTCCAAGAACTTGGAATAACACAATAGTAACAGCATCTACAGAAATAAAAAAATAATAAAAATTAAAAAAATAATAATACCGTTTAAAAGTGACTCTCCAAAAACTAGTATATGCAATAACTTGTTAACGTGTATCTCATCAAAGACAGCTAGTACCTAAATGGGCATGGTTAGTATGAGACCACACCCACTAATTAATACTCACAGCGACTGGGTCTACAGCAGCACATATCGTACCAAACAAAAGAGCAGAAGGAATGGACAGATGAGAGTCCATCAGACCAGCCACAGACAAACCATATAAGGTAAACCCTATTAACAGTAACAATATTATTAATAATAATCTATTATAATAATTACCAAGAGCAAATGCATTCCAAACTGTTCCCTAATGATAATGGTAAGTTACAAATGATGATGATGATACCATTACACTTACAATAACCGCATACATGAGAATTGAGATTATATTTTCAAAGAATGCTCTGTTGTCAAGGAAATATCCTGATGCAAATATTATCCTAAATAAAGAGCAGTCAGATACAGTACGAGCTGTTCTTACGGCGGCAATAGAAACACAAAGAACAGCTGGGGAGTGAATCTGAAAGGAAGATTATCATTTGGAGTGCACTCATCCAATCTGAAGGAAGCACTAAGAATATAATAATTGAATTAACTAATCAATCCATTAATTAACTTACACTAGTATACCACCAATGTGAGTTCCAAGTACAATCAACATACTACGTATAATAATAATAATAATAACCAGGCCACACCTCCTTACCATGACTCTGGTATATTGGACGATATCACATGCATCCATGGATAATGCCATCCTATAATCCACAATGAATATAATATTTTAGTGACACCTCTTACCTATCTTAGCTAGTATGACAATGATTATGAAACTGGAGAAGATTAAAGGGAGTTTAACCTCCTCAATCTTGAGAGTGGCCAGTCTTACATTGCTGTTAACAGTTTCAGAGTGACAATGGGCCGGGACTGCTTCCTCTACTGCTCCTTCAGCAGCTTCTGCTCCTCTACAACCAACAGAGAACAATATAGCAATCAATAAAAGTAACTTCATTGTACTACAGCAATCAATCGACCCTGCCAAAATTAAGTTAACTGCTGCAGGCAGCCACACCTACAGATCACGTGATGTAGACTGGTGCAAGGACACGTGGTTTTAGTATACTATCCGTAATGCCCAGTAAAACACTACACCCACTATAAACAGAATGGAGGAGGTGTCCGACTCCGATGATTTTAACCTTGTTGAGGGGAAAATGGATCTAGTGATATCAGACATTGTCCTACTCTCAAAGAAAGAGAAAGCTCCTGATAAGTACATAGCAGTAAGGACTACCCTGTAGCCATACTCTTGTTCTATCCGTTGACAGATTGAGCCGCCATTGGCTGAAGGAGGGAGACTGAGCTTCACCAAGAGATACATTGCCTACTGCCGGGAAATACCCAACCAAAGATGGGTGAGTTGTTCCTATTTTTGTTTGTTTATTGTTGTTGTTTACAGGGTAGGGTTGTTGTGAGTGATATTAAGGTGTTGTCAAATAACCAGCCACCAGTTGGATACAGGGGATTACCTGAAACACACGATGATGGTAACTTAATGAATGAATGGTAGAAATACAATAAACTGTATATATACAGTTAGTAAGTCATTTGGTTCTAAACTGATTGCCATTAAACTGACACCACAAGAAGAAGCAGCTGAAGGTGTCACTGACATATTAGTACTATCAGGATCAAGGAAGGACCAAGTACCTCCTGGATACAAGAGACTACCGTACGTCATCTATTAATAGTAACAGTGATATTAATAGTAACAGTGATATTAATAGTAACACATTATTATTATTATTATGTTTAGTGAGATCAATGGGTTCAGTGTTTGTTTCCAAGTAACAAAGCTAGCTAGAAGAGAAGGTCCTCCTCCTCCAGTTACTAACAGACCCAGGTCAGGAGCTGGTATAGTACAGCCACAGGATAACAAAGGAGCTAACTATCCGTCAGTAACTGATTGATTGATGCAATGTATCTTCTATTCTCATTAATTTAGGACCTATGAGAGACAAGTTTCTAGAAAAGCTCGTTCAGGTAAGCACAACCATTACTAGTCAATGAACTGTAATTACATGTATACTGAATGTTACTGTAAGCAGCTGTGGATGGACTTTCTTTCAAAGTTAACGAAGACAACAGCTCACGTGCTAGTGAGGTATTGTGAAAATGTATAATGATGTATTTTAATTATTTATTTATTTAGTTTCTGTCAGCTAATTTGAAGTATCTGTCTTTGGATGACATTGAAACAAAAGTATTTGTCATCATTATTAATTAATTAATAATTATTTTATTAATTTAATTTATAGTTTAAATTTGATTGGTCTCTTGAAGAACAAGCACAAGCTCAAACTTAAAACAATCAAAATACAAAAAATTGATTTTTAATTGCTATTATTGTGACCTCATGTTTTGTTAATAACTATTAATAACTATTAATAACTGTTAATAATTGGAACAAAATGGCGGATTCTTCTGGAGGAGAAGAAAGGCAGCCACCTGGTGAGGTACTGAATGAGAAGTTTAGCGCTTTTGTGAAGTTTGCATCAACTTCAATAACAAGAGCCAAACAAGTAACTGGATCATTAGTATCAGTATCTTCATTAATTGCTCCTTTGTTAGTTCACTGTTGAGAAGTTAGGAAGAGCCGAGAGTGTCACTAGTTATGATGATCAGTTCGAGAGCTTAAGTGTGAAAATTGATCAGATCAAATTAAACACAGAACGAATCATTGACACACTAGAATCAATGATTCAACCTAACCCAAGTAATAATAATGACACACCCACCTAATTAACAATAACCACACCCCTAATTAATGACCACACCCCCTATAGATATACGACTGGAGGAGGCAGTGTACAGTAAACTGGACCGAGTTCAACCTCACCGATCAACAGGACATGAGCTGTTGGGGGTGGAGCTTTCTAGAGCCGGAAATGAGTTTGGACCAGAAACACAATATGGTATGAGTGTTGGAGTGGTGGGTGTGGCTTACATTATTAATAGGAGGGTACCTGGTGAGGTGTGGGGAGGTGGAGAGTAAGATTGGATTAGCCGAAAGACGCTATCAGAACACAATAAAGACTGATGTACTGACACCACTGAAGGCTTTCCTTGAAGTGGATTTAAAGACACTTTTAGTAAATAAATCATCATTATTATTATTATTATTATTATTATTATTATTATTATTATCATTATTATTATTATTATTATTATTATTATTATTATTATCATTATTATTATTATTATTTATTTATTGTCATTTAGAGAGAAAAGAGAAACCTGGTTGTGTTACGATTGGATCTTGATGCTGCTAAGGCGCAGGCTAAGAAAGCTCAAGGAGACAAAGTATCACAAGTGACCAAGAAAAGATGCACAATATTAATTATTAATTCTATTATTTAAAAACAGGCTGAATCCAACCTGAGGTCCATTCAAGCCGATTATGATAGTAAAATGGAGAAAGTTCGTGGGAGTATGGAACGGATAGTGCAGACTCATGTCAACAACATGGGCCACATCAAGGGGTACATATCAACTTTGAAGTCGTATTATACCGACTGTATGACCTACCTGGATGACATTGGGACTGAAATGTAATTAAGATTAATAGATTAATTCATTATTTATTGATTTTAGGTCCCCTCCTGTCGTTACCAGTAGTGATAATGAGGATATTCTCTCTCATTATGATGTTGATAAAAGTGAGGCAAAGAAGGCTAGAGTCCTTTATGATTATGAATCAGAGGAAACTGACAATCACTTGTCATTACTTATTGATCAGGTACAACTCACTTAAAATTTGGTAATTTTAACCCCTGGACTATAGTGCATAGTCTTTAATTGACCTGATTTGAGGGCAACTCAAAATATTTGTAAAAAAATTAATTTTGACTTTGGAGCCATTTTTTGGTTTGAGGCAATTCCAACTTCAATTTTTCAAGTTACGGCCATTTTAAGGAAACATCAAAAATCTGAAAAATACCCAAGGCTATAGTCCATGGTTTTTTCCAAAAAATGGCCAAAAAATCACCCCAAATTTTTGTGACATTTTCTGATACATATTGATGCCCTTATGCTGTGTAGCAAGTTTGAGTCGATTCCGACTTCAATTTTTCAAGTTACAGCCATTTTAAGAAAGCGTCAAAAATCTGAAAAATACCCAAGGCTATAGTCCATGGTTTTTTTCAAAAAATGGCTGAAAAATCACCCCAAATTTTTATTACATTTTCCGATACATATTGATGTCCTTTTGCTGTGTAGAAAGTTTGAGCTGATTCCGACTTCAGATTTTGAAGTCACGGCCATTTAAGAAATTGCCAAAATTCTGAAAAGTACCCAAGGGAATGTAATAAAATTGAGTTATTCTGTCCTCATTGCTGTTTTTTAGGTTATCACAGTGTATCCATTGAAAGATGATGGTGATTATTATTTAGCTCAAGTTGGTGACACCATTGGGAAGGTCCCTGCTGCTTATCTTGAACTAATTTGATTTTTATAAAAATTATAATTAATAATGAGCTTGCCATTTTGAGTGAAAATACTTTGAATTTTATAGTGAGTTTGTGTGTGAATTATGAATTTAATTATGTGATGTAAGGCACACATGACAACCGTTCATTTGCTCAAAGTGGAGTGTGATGTCACTGATGTGTAAGTTTGGGTGTGGTTGAATCCATACTTTAAAAAGAGACTGTTACCGACTATTTACTACAGATCCAACTAGTTCAACTGACTGAAGTTAGAAAGTTACTGGAGAAAGAAGCAATTATGTTTAAGAGAAGGTATATAGCTACTTTAAAGTGGATTGCTATTAATGTTGTTATTAGGCCACAGGTAGAGAAGCAGTTTATATCTGGCAAAAGTACAAGAGATGTACCTGAAGCAATACAACTAGCCTCTTTCAAGAAGGAGCCTCCACTGGCTGCCTACACAGGACCCAACACTGGACTAAGAGTACTTGATACTGACACTGAGATCTCAACCAGTGATCAGTGTGTTGCTGGTGTCAATGATTGGAACAATCCCTCAGACTATGCTTATGGTCTCTCAGTCTCTTTGTATGAAACTGATAAACGTTGCAATAGGCAGGTTGGGGGGCCAGTGGCTGACGTATTTGGAGTTGTGGTCAGGGAGAATAATGCAATAATGGCAATTGCTGATGGATCAGGCTGGGGAAAGAAGGCTCGTTTAGCTGCTCGCTGTGCAGTCAATGGAGCAATAGCACACATTACTGATAACCTCCATAAACTCTCTGTTAAGAAACCAACATCTGCCACACTCAACAAGCTACTGCATGAATCAATGGACATTGCTCATAAATCCATCCTCTCTCATGGAGGAACTCTCACTACACTCAGCATTGCTGTTGCTTGTGAGCTGAGCGCTCCATCAAATCAATGGGGGCTCTTTGTTGCTAGTGTAGGAGATAGTCCAGTATTTGTATATTGTCCACACACCTACCAGTTGCATGAAGCTACAGTTGATTGTCATTCAAAGGATGGTAATAGAGTTGTCCAGCTCTCAGGAGGTGCTCTAGGTCCCGCTATTGGTACTTTACCAGATTTGGATAATTTCAGTATGTCCTATTCTCCAGTCTATCCTGGTGATATTGTACTGCTAATGACTGATGGGGTATATGATAACTTTGCTCCTGGTGTGGTGCAAGCAGTTCATGATGAAAGAGCTCTTGATTGTGATTCAGGAGTTTCATTCACACCACCAAACGCCAGCCCTGTCCCTGGTCCAAATGAAGGTTCCTCGAGTCCAGTACTGAATAGACAAACCTGCTGTCCATCTCCCAGCAACCCTCATACCACAGAGAGGCCATGGCCTCCTTGTGACGTTGATCTTCACAGAAGCATATCATCAGCTCATCCTCCTTCATCAGTTTATGCTGAAGAGGACACTCAGTTGATAGAGCTTAAGAAATGTTGTGAATCCCTTCCGGAAATGATGAAATTCCTTCATCAGCATCAGGCCAATCTTTGTGGCAACATGACAGCTCAAACCGTTTCTTCTGCAATCATCAACTTTGTTTACGAAGCGACTGAAAAGAAGAGAATCTTTAAAAGCGATTGTCTTGAGAAAGACATTAATGTGTCTCGAAGAAGAAGAGCTGATCCTGAGTTTGCTAGCGAATTGCAAAGCCACAAAAGTAAACTAGACCATGCAACAATTGTATCTTATTGTATTGGTACACATTAACTAATGAAGTTTGTTTTTGCATGTTTTTAATTTTAAAAATACTTTATTATCAGGACTACTCTTATCTTGTGTAGTGAGTGTGTGGTGTTTGTGGGTGGTTTCCTCCTTTATCCTGCATGGACTTTAAAGGACCAGGTTATGGGTCAAAGGGAAGTGTTGTCTGTTATGTGGTGATGTGTAGAGTGCAGGCGAGTGTCAGTGATGTCAGTAGTACTAATGAATATAATTAAAATACCTACAGTGTTCAACTACAGTAAACAACTAATAAATGACATTAGAATATTAAAATTTCATTGCTTGAAGTGTCACAAACATAAACTTGTCCTGTGTCATCAACTATTATTCCTCTCGGTCTCACTAGCTCTTTGTCCCCGTGCCGACTGAAGCTTCCAATAAATTCTGTTGTTTGTCCATCAAACATGACCACCTCAGGAATATAGCAGTACGCAACATACACTATACTGCTTGCATCCACTGCTACCTTCACTGGGTAATGGTAATGCTCATGTTTAAATTCAGCAACCATGTTCCCGTAAGTTGTCATTTTCTGTACACGTGAGTTATCCCGGTCGCAAACAAACAGAAAACCTTCTTTATCAATTGCGATCCCGAGTGGACACTCAAACTGGCCTGGGGCACACCCTTTTTGTCCAATTTTATGAGATAACATAAAGTTATCAGTTAAGCAGTGGATCTGATGATTTCCTGAATCAGATACATACACCCTGTCACTGGAATCAATGCAAATGTCATATGGTAGCTTGAACTCTACGTCAGAGCCAGTAACTGTTGTTAAAGGTGTACCAGTCCTTGAGAATAGCTGCAATCGGTGATTGTTGGTATCACAGACTATCAGTTGATTTGTTCTTGTTGCTGCTATTCCTGTTGGCTCATGCAACTCTCCAAAACTGTCGCCATGTCTCTCTCTATTTTTAGTAGGCACTCCTGACAGCATGTTGTATATGATACTCTCTCTTGACAACTGTCGCCTACCAAATGTCAGCAATCGGAATCCTTCCTTCCGAAGAACTGATACTGAATTTCCTCTCCATTCAGTGACTGCAATATGGCCATTACTCATCAATGCTATCGACATTGGCCCATCCAATCCTTTAATGGTCTGGACTGAACTGGAGAATTTATCAGCTACAGCAACAGAAGTGACACTCTTGCTCAAGGCACTCCTAAACACTTTACTATCAAAAAATATTGAGCTCAGTTGTCTTGATCCCTCCTGCTCCTCCTCTTCAGTGATTGCCTCAAGAATGTCTCCAGTACTTGAGGAAAGCTTGGACATACTCCAGAACCAGCTCCACCAAAAGAGGCAGCCACACCCTTAGCTTTTGTTTGCAAGACCAGCCACACCCAAGCAACTGCAAAGAAAACCACACCCAGAAAAATGCAATGAATGAAGATCTATCAATAAGTTTATATTAAAAATAAAAATATAAAGGGACACATTATAAATTATCAGTCATCATAGTCAGGGTCACTGCTCTTGACTAGCCTCAGGACAGGGAACAGACGAAGTGTTAGATACGATATAGCAAACAGAAACGGTGGAATGAGAGAAGTTGATGGTATTGAGTCTTCCAGGACACGAGGAATGATGACCTCAATGTAGAGTAAGAGACCAATACGCCAGAGCAACAGGAAAAGGTGTATAACTGTAAACAATATATTCCTCTTGTTCTGTACAACATATGATATTATCCTTGTAGCCTGACAGAGACTGTAGTAAGAGTCAAGGGCCAGAGAGACATACAAAGGAATGAATATAGCGGACCAGGAGAGGAGGATAACTGACTCAACCCGTAGAGTTAGTAGTAATAAGAACACCAGGCCACCAGATGAATGGAGGAAAGCCTCAAAAGGTCCAATTCCTAACCAAACTACTGATTCTTTATAGGATAACAACACCATCTTGTATTAAATGAACAGTCAGCAGCAGGGTAGGTGTGGCTTGGTTAGGCTACACCCACTTGTAATTATTATTAGTTAATTGATTTTATTTTTGTTAAATTTTCCATAAAGTAATATGCAATACTGAAAGATATCTTCCTCTTGCACCACCAGGTTCAGGTAACGCTAACTAATGATAAATATTAATAGTTATAAAATTAGGAGACACATATACCTCAAGAAATTGTAACTGGTCAATGTTTATAGTAAAACTATCAACGAAAAACTAAAAAAATTACTGACAGTTATATAATGCTAGGACTGTGTAACTAACTTCAATAGAACTTGTACAAGATTCCTTCAATTGCAATGATAAATTGATTGATTTATTGATAGCAGAACCAATGCCATACACATTACACTGATAAGAACTAATCATCAATTAATATTAATCTTCCTCATTAATGCAATGTAATGGCCTACCCTTGTTCAATGAGTCTCTTAGCAGTGGCCAGTTGTGCTCCAAAGTCACTTGTACTTGTAACATAAATATCATTAATACGTTGCCTCAACTGTTTAACATTTGATCCTATTCATTAAATTAGTATTAAAGTTAAAGAGGATATTGCACTAATTAATATTATAGTACAGGAGACTGCAGTATCTTTGCAGTAAAAGAGTAAAACTTTGTCTTACTTTTAACTGATGATCCTTTTCTTGACATCATTCATTCATTGCCAGTATAACTCCGGATATTGCAAATGCAAGTGACTTTTACTGACTTGTTCTTTTCACATATTTTTAGATGCAGTTTGTTGCTAAATATTCTGTATTAGGTGACAGTTTTAGGCAAAGGTTTTCACTAAACATGCACAGTTTTAAAACTCAATAATAATTAATAATAATAATAATAATAATAATAATAATAATAATTGATAGTAATTAATTAAAGTGTCATTGTGTTTGACAACTGACAGTCCTGGCTCCGCCCATAGGTCCATCATGATCGTCCTACAAGCAAACAAACAAACGATAGGTTCCAATATCCCAGTAGACCCAATACATACCATCATATACTTCCTTCTGTGCAGTTCAGCCTCAGGATCAATGTCTTCCAATTGTACCTATAATAACATCAGTTAATTAACCCATTAATTAATAAATAATAATAATACTTCTTCATAGTCATCATGAGACGTAATCATCTCTTCACTATCTTGAGGTAACAGTTCCCTTAATTTAGACATACCGTCACGAGTTAGGAAATTATTAGGAGGAAAACGAACCTAATTGAAAGTGAAAGAACATAGAGAAAGTGAGAGACAAAAGCTAAGAAAAAGAATAGTCCATGGTCGTTGGCCTGATCTTTAAAAGTTTGTGAAAATTCCAAACTTGATCAGAATCTTAAACTTTCTGCACAACATAAGTACATGAATAGATGTTACAATGTATGTATAATGAAACTAGTTACAATGTACTCACATTAAAGCGTATGATGAGACGTCCTTTATTGAACGGGTTTCTGTACTGAGGCATACCCTCATTAAGAACAACTTTAACATCATCTAATAAATAATAATAATAATAATAATAATAATAATAATAATAATAATAAACAATAATTTTGCCTATTATCAAGTACCGTGCTTCAATACTTCTCCAGGGTGAGTTTGTATCACTATTTGTCTGTCGTCCAACATTTTGATGGTTTTCTTAAACCCAGTCAGTGCTTCAGAGAGGTTAATGGTCATATTCATGTAAAGGTCAGTCTCCTTTCTTTTGAACAACTCGTGATCTATCTCCTCTAAAACTATCACTACATCTCCTGTTTCGTAACCAGGTTGCTATGGTAACAAACTATGAATATTAATTAGTATTTAATTGATTAATTACTTGAGCTGCCTCTCCCCTGAATGGTATCTGGTCCCCATCCTTCATCCCTTTATCAATATGGACCTGTAGTGACCAGGACCACTCATTATTATTATTACTCATTAATTATTCATTACTTCTAATATTTTTTTGTCATTAACAACTTTCTCACCACGACAAGTTTTACATTTATCCTTTTCTATAAACAAATAAATAAATAAATAATATAATCATTATACCATTAATTATAATCATTATACCATTAATTATCTCTCCTCTTCCTTTACAGGCCCGACAAGGAACAATCTGCCTTGTCACAAAACCTGGAGCTATTTGTTGCATTGAAAGCTAATAATCAATAATAATTAATAATAATCAATAATAATTAATAATTAATAATGTACTTGTTGTCCCTGACCATCACATGAGACACAAGTTCTTACTGCTCCCTAAAATGAATACAAATTGATATAGTAATACTAATGTACATGTAACTTGTCACCTCTTTTCCTCCTTTCCCTCCACAGTCACTGCATATGATGTGTCTCTGTATTGCTAACTTCCTTACACTCCCGTTGTAAAATTCCTCAAGTCTCACCTATCATTATTAGCTACCATCATTAATATTAATTGATTAATTAATCCTTACATGTAACTGATGAATCATGTCTCTAGTTTTCTTTTCCCTGTTCCTCCTTCCTCGTCCTCCCATACCAAACACAAGATCAAATATATCCATTGCTGTAATAAAACTCAGTATTTTCTAGTATAACTCAGTATACTAACCAGAACTCCCTCCTCCTCCTCCTTCTTTCAATGCTTCTTCTCCTCCTTTGTCATACAACTCTCTCGTCTTTGGATCATTCAAAACTTCATAAGCATGAGCTATCTCCTTGAACTAAATAAATAAATAATAATGACTGATGGAGGTGTACGCTATAGAGAGTGTCCATTAAGAGAGGCTATACTGTACATGTACTCTTACATACTTTTTCTTCATTTTCTGGTCCTGGGTTTTTGTCTGGATGATATTTAAGAGCTGATCTCCTATAAGCTTTCTTTAGTTCTGATTCTGTAGCATTTGGTTCAACACCCAGCAGGTCTTTACGTACCAATATCAATAAATAGAGTATATAATAGGAGGAGCTACTTGTCTTACCATAAAACTTGGTTTCTTTAACACTTTTACTCATCCTCTAGGGTACAGTAACTAAAGAGAGAGAAAGGGACGTCAACCTAGTACCAAGAAAGCCAACCACCTGACAGTATTATGGGTGTGGTCAACTATTACCACACCTACTTTCTTTTCAATTATGGCTTCCAGTTTGGAGGAGGAGAGTGTGAGTGGTCCTGAAATGGCTTCCACTGAAGAGGAGGAGAATGTATTGAGCATTGGACTGTTAGGAGTCCTAGGACCAGCAGTGAAACAAATTGATACTAAAGTGGGACAAGTGAGGTAAGGATTGTCATTATTCAATAAAAATTATATAATTATTAATTGAATAATCCGCCGGCAGAGACAGCCAAAATGAATTGAAAGGGCAAATTGATAAGCTTGCTCAAGGTAGACTATTAATTGAATATTATTATTATCATCAAGTTATTATTAATATTTATATATAGAATTACGTCAATTATCTGACAAGCAGAGAGTTCCTATTGATTTAGATACTTATATTAAGAAACTCGCCATTTCAAAGAGGAGGATACTACTAGTGAATGACATACTACAGAATGTTCATGTAAGCCAGTGGTCCCCCAATAATTTCAAGTGTCCATGTGTTGTTACAGGAGAGAATGGATAAACTGCAGAAGAACATTACAAAAGAGACACTGCGACAGAGATCCGCCATTGAAGCTTGTCAATAATTAATGAATGACTCCTGGTGTGTGTGTGTGTACTAGTAATAGTGTGTGTGAGTGATAAATATTTAATAATGTTACAATTATTAGACAGTCTGAACAGCTGGTTCTCACTGCTAGTGTATAATAACCTATAAAAGAGAGACAGACAGAGAGCGAAAGAGAGAGAGAGATGTCGTCCATTATAAGTGATTCTTATGGTGCAACAGAATTACCAGACAGTTCTGATTCCAGTGATACCGTTCTTGATGTTACAGCTGATGACAAGCCAAGAGATGGTAATTGTTACAAGTACCTTCATCATTTCCTAATGATAGTGTGTTTATCAATTGGGTCTTATCTTGGTGTCATCACAAGGATATATACCTCAATATATTTATCATTATTTGATAATATCGATCAGTTTACATCTCTCTGGGCTCAAGTTATAGGTACTGGAGTCATTGGGTATCTAGTCATCAATAAAAGTAACATTAATAATGTATTGTACACTTCACTGGCCACAGGACTGTGTGGCTCACTCACCACATTTTCAACATGGAATGCTGAGTCAGCATTGGTGCTGCTCCAGTTGAACGAGTCTACTCTTGTTACTATAAATAGACCAGACTACGTTAAAGGTGGAGTGTCAGGTCTCATGATACTATTTATAGGTATTGGTCTACCTTTGTCATCATTTATATTTGGTAGCAATATGGGACGGGTATTCAAAGCACCTGTAATTACCAGTAGCTATTATGTCACTGGATATGTTAGCTCAGTGTTGTTGTACATAATAAGTACAACAATCATCATTATTGTCTGTTTAATTACTGATAATTATTATATTCTTTTTTCACTTTTATTTGGTCCAATTGGCACTTATTTGAGGTGGCGATTAGCTTATTTTGATGTTAACTTTCTTAAAAACGATTTTCCAATGGGAACATTGATATCTAATTACACTGGATCACTGATATTAGCAGGTTGTATGGTTGCCAGGTTACACGTCAACAATCCAACTGTAGTTCAGTTAATAAATGGAGTCATTACTGGTTTCTGTGGCTGCTTGACAACAGTTTCAACATTCATCAGTCAAATAACCAAACTCTCATTCAAAATGTCATCAATATATGTACTAATATCACTGACTACAGTACAAATAACTTACATTACAATATTCATTATTTATTCAGTTGTTTATTAATGGACAAATAACTGTACAAATATCTTACAATAATCAGTTGTTATTATTAATAATTAGGATATAGCACATTCTTTGTTGTCTCTTCTCTCTAAAGACAGTTTCTTTGATAATGATGATCGTCTTTTTGTTGACTCAATTTCTTTTTCATTAGTGCATTCCACACTGATTGGTCTAAAAAACACATTAATAATGACCACACCTACAAAGTCACCACACCAACAAACTAACTGTGTAGTGTTAGTGAGTCGTTGATCAAGCCAATCTCGTTCATTAATTAATTCAACTAATTCTTTAATCAATTCCTCTTCTCTTTCTTTTTGTTCTTTAGTCTTCTCTTCATCTAATAAATAAATATTAATTAATTAATTGGTGGGTGTGGCAAACCTGTCATTGCAGCTAGTGGTCGTAATTCTCTATTTATAAAGAACTGACGTTTTTCTAAATCCTCTTCTTTCTCTCTAGTAGTACAATATAAAGAGCCATGTATCAAGTATCTTAGCCAGTTTGTGTGTGTGTGTGGTTACTTAAAATACTTACAATAGATTCAGTTCAATTTGTTTCTTAATTAATGAATTCTTTTCGTTTAACACTTTAAAATATTCAACAGTAAGGAGCTCCTCTTTTTTATCATCACCTGCAGTTATGAATAGTTATCAATGGTTATTAATAGTTATTAACCTCTACTCATGGCCTCCCTAATCTCAGTCTCAATGGTAGTGCTCCTCTCTTGTAATGGCTGCAGTTGGCCCTGAAGTAGAATCAGTTCAGTCTTCACATAATCACTTTGACTTTGCAGTATATCCTGTCAATATAGCAACAATTTTAGTTATTATTATTATTATTAGTTATTATACTTTATTGAGGTCTCTTTCGTGGTTTTTCCAAGCAGATACACTCTACAATTCATTCAACTAATTAATAATAATATTGATCACTTACATCAGTGTCATTGAGAGGTTTCTGTACATCAGTTGAATCAGTTGATTCTGCAAAATCAGTGTTAGTATCAGGGTTAGTATCAGTGTTAGTATCAGTGTTAGTATCAGTGTTAGTTGGTGGTTGTAATGACATTATTTTAGCTGCTCGTGATGGTTTACTTGAAGGAGCTAATAATTTAAGTCTCTCTTGTTTCTGCTTCACTATAACCTCTCCTGTCTCGACCTCTCCTGTTCCAACATCTCCTGTTCCAACCTCTCCTGTTCCAACCTCTCCTGATTGCTCAGTGTCTTCATTCTCTTTTGCTAGTTCTACTGTCAGTAGTTTGGAATCAGACTTACAGCTGGATAGAACTCTGCTGCTGTTACTAGGAGGCTGGTTGCTAGGACGTAGGTTGCTAGGAGACAGGTTACTAGGTGTCAAAGACCCGTGAGATTTTTGACGAGCTTTTTCTAGTTTTCGTTTTGTTGATTCGGACAAAGCATCAAAAGTTGTTGGCTTCTGAATACCAACTCTTTTCATCATAGCCTGAGCTTGTTTACGATATAACTCGCTCTATTATACAAAATAAACAAATAAAGAAACAAAAAAATAATTAAATACTTTATCTTCTGTAGGAGATATAGCAGGAAGACTTGCTCTTCTGCTCTTATCCTAATTAATAATAATAATAATAATAATAATAATAATAATAATAAATAAGTTACACTAACTGGTTTTCCTTCCATTGGTTTGATTGCAGCCAGTGATGAACGTGAAGGACGATCTTGTTCCTGTGGGTGTGGCTTAGACTCTAGTGAAACAATATCAGATTCTTCACTAGTGGAGGGTTCAGTCATATCTACATGTATATCAAGAGTGGTTACACTATTCTCCTTATGATCATTTCCAGATGTGGCTGAACAAGTATCAAGAGGTGTGGCCACAGAAGACGTAGAAGGTGTGGCCACTGTAGACACAGGAGGTGTGGTCACAGTAGACACAGGAGGTATGGTCACAGTAGACACAGGAGGTGTGGTCACAGTAGACACAGGAGGTGTGGTCACAGTAGACACAGGAGGTGTGGTCACAGTAGACATAGGAGGTGTGGCCACAGTAGACACAGGAGGTGTGGTCACAGTAGACACAGGAGGTGTGGGTTGATCAGTAGTCTGATGCGAATACTTAGAGTATGGATTAGCGGTGGTGGTCTTCGAGGATGGAGAGATTGAAGAGATGCTTAAAGACAATTCCTCAAACTTTGAGATATCAAACAAACTAGGAGAGACAGGAGAGGGAGATTGACGAGGTAGGTGTGGCTTAAATACAGCAGAATGCACATGCCTAGTGAAGTAATTGTACATTTGATACACAAAAGAAGAGACTGCTAGCTTATCAGGGACATCAGTAAGTAGCATCATGTTAGGAGTAAGTGGACAGAATATACCCAATTCACTGGCTATGGTGAATGCCTGTAGATCAATGAGAACATTATATTAGTGTACTACAGAGGAATTATAACTTACTAATCTGTTGTTCTCTTTGATGCTGTTTGGAGTTAACTGATAAAATTCACTAAATAATAATAAGTGGATAATATTAACAATAACAATGATAATCAGAGCATACATTAAATCAGGTCTGTAGTGATGTATAATTGCACAGAAAGCAAGTCCATTCTTCCATGAAGTGGTCATGTTAGAGATATCAACATTGCTATAACCTTTAGTGACATTTTGTGACCATTCAAGGAGCTCTTCCAGTGAAGGAATTGGATCATTACTGGTTACTGGAGATATAGAGCGACCAGTCCCACTATCAATAAACCTGATAAATAATCGATTCACTAAGTAACATACAATCTAGTAATTGTGAATTCATCTTCATCTTCAAGATTACCGATTGTTGATAAATTAGACACACTCATCATACTGGCAATACTGATCATGTCATCGTCACTAGATGAATAATAATAGTATGATGCTAATAATAGTATGATACTAATAATAGTGTGATGCTAATAATAGTATGATACTAATAATAGTATGATGCTAATAATAGTATGATACTAATAATAGTGTGATGCTAATAATAGTACGATACTTATAATAGTATGATACTAATAATACAGTAGTATGATGCTAAATATTAATAATAGTATATTGTAATTACGTTGCTTTGCCTTCTTTAAGTAAAACTGATGAAATTGACATTTCCAAATGAACTTTCTTTACTTTGACAGACACAGACTTGAGTAGCAGTTTAACCTCCTGATCGAAAGGAAGGGCTGATGCATATTGGACCACATTAATGGGGACACTGGCCAGGACCTTTCTGTGACCATGCCTGTCAACCTACACACAAACAAACAATAACTACATCATTGCTATTGTTATCTACATTTATAACTGAGAATTCCCATTCCTTTGTTTCATAAGACTTATCTTTTTGACCCTAAAAACTATAAAATAAAATAATCCTAAGCATTAGATACTTTATAAAGAGTGATTGGGGCTTCAATGGCTTCAGGTTCGGGCCATACAGCAACACCACGTAACTTATTATCAGGAGATGGCAACCATGGCAATATCTAATAAACATAAGAATGGATTATTTTCAGTTTTGAGAAGGAACAGCCGGTACTTTAGAGAGAATTCTTCTACCTCTTCTATGAAAAGCAATACTGATCATGTGAGGTGTCCTAATTAATAATAAATGAATAAATAAATACAAGTAACAGGACCTACCACTTATCGTTAGTACATTCTATCATTACTGATTGGTAGGTCACACAGTACTGAAACTTGGAGGCTCTTTTCCCTATTCTTTTAGCTTTCCTTAAGGCAGCCATTTTAAAGGGAGTGGTCTAGATCACGTGATTCGATCAATAGATCACGTGATCCTGTAAAAATAAGGGAGAGCCCAGCCTTTAGCAGTTCCTTTGGATAATACAGCACAGTGACTGTTGAGAAAAGAAGAGGGTATTTGAATACTGATCGCTGTGCTCCTGTTATACGAGGATCCTGTCATTAGAGAGGCAATGGCTTCAGGACCATACAACTATTCTTACATATTCAAGTACATCATCATAGGTTAGCCCAGGGCTGAGGTTGGAGGAGAGGCCCTTCTCTTTATAACCAACCAGTGGTTATTAAATACTCCCCCTCCCTCCATTGGGTACCTCCTGGGGCAGTATTATTAATAGTGTACACCAGTGGGTGTGTCATTGTATGTAAACTGGGTGTGGTCAATTGTATTTGTAATTTTGTATAGGTGATATGGGAGTAGGTAAATCATGTTTATTACATCAATTTACTGAAAAGAAATGTAAGAAATGATTGATGATGATAGTTAATGTTGTGTGTGATTCAGTTATGGCGGATTGTCCTCACACTATTGGAGTCGAGTTTGGTACTAGAATAGTGGAAGTGTCTGGTCAGAAAATAAAGCTACAAATATGGGATACAGCTGGACAAGAAAGATTTAGGTATAACCACCGAACCAGTGTTGTTGTTATTGTTGTTGTTGTTTGGTAGAGCTGTTACTAGGAGCTATTACAGAGGAGCAGCTGGTGCTTTAATGGTGTATGACATAACAAGAAGAAGCACTTACAATCATTTAAGTAGCTGGCTAACTGATGCCAGGAACCTCACTAATCCAAACACTGTATGAGAATGTATAATTAGTGTCAGTAGTGCATTATCATACTGTAGGTTATATTTCTTATTGGTAATAAATCAGATCTTGACGGACAGGTATTTCACTTTTATTAGCTATCACTTTTATTATCATACCATGCAGCGGGATGTAACTTATGAAGAAGCTAAAACGTTTGCAGATGAAAATGGTTAGTTGATATATTAAGACTGTTCATTAAAATGCCACCTGGTTTTAAACATAGGGTTACTTTTCCTTGAAGCAAGTGCTAAAACGTAATAATTACACTAGTAATAATAATAGTTATTAATGTCTGTGTTATTATTTATTTAGTGGAGACAATGTTGAAGATGTGTTTATTGAAACTGCAAAGAAGATATATCAGAATATACAGGATGGAAAGTAGTTCCTATTATTAATGTAACACAATTATTATTATTATTATTATTATTTGTTAGTGTTGATTTAAATGCTGCAGATACTGGAGTACAACTTAAGCCTTCAGCTAGTGGCGGTAGTGGAGATAGAAAACCAACTGGCAATCAGTCCAGTCAACAAAGTGGAGGGAAGGGTTGCTGTTGAAATATATATTTAAGTGTGACACTCATTCCTTCTCTTTCTTTTAATTATAATTATTATCATTTTGTGCTGTACTATTGTTCTTCTTTTGCGTAGTTAATTTTCTTTTATTAATTTTTATGAATTAAATTAATGACTGACTGTATGTGTGTTTATGAATGAATAGTAGTAACATTGGATACTGCTGCTGTTGGAAAGATTTTGTGATGAATGGATGTGGTTAATGTGACTTTAGAGTTTGATCCAGCAGCAAATTGCACAGACCTTGTAAACCAATTCATAACCCACTGTGGTGTGGACTTCAAAGGGATTGTCTAAATTGAGGTGTGTCTTACATATTGTGTGGTCACATTACCACCTACTTCTGGCTACTTGGCAGTGTGCAAGGTCTATGGTGTACCTATACTATATTAACCTTGTTATACAAGTACATTCATAGCATTACCTATAATATCTTATAACCTCTGACCTTTACAATGTAAATATGCCTACATTAGCTTTACTGAGCACATTGCTACCACCATATATACCATTACCATCGCCTACATTAACTTATAACCTGAGATATCCTAAATATATGACCATATTAATGTTCTTAATACTTAGATACTATACCATTCAGTGATGTAGCCAGGGTTATGATGGTGGTAGGGCACACTATGGACAAGTGAACTTCACATACAATTTATAGACAAGAGAACAGTCAGAACACTATGACAGTTGGTAGGATACAAGCATAGACTGGTAGGGCATGTGCCCCACTGTGCCCTACTCTGGCTACGCCACTGATACCATATGATAATGGTAACTGCATGTGACCATTACATACCGTACCATATGTTACCTCTATTGCATGTGACCATTGTCTATATATTGTAACTCTACAACCTTAATATAACAACAAAAGCACACACTTGATACCATAATGTACTACACAATGTGCATATGATAGTAGCAATTATGTAGTGTTTGATTGGTTTTAAGTAGTTAAAGGATTGAGACAAAAAAAAGAAAAAGAAAAGGTCTGATCCTTTCTTCTGCTTAGAGTCCATACTACACAAAAAGGAAAAGAGAGAAAGAGAAGAAGAGAGGGTTCTAGCATGAGATGCTGGAAGCCACCATCCGACCCAAAAGGAGGACTCCCTCGCCCACACTCCTAGGCAAAACCCTCCCCTTCCCTCTCACATGATCGGGATTAAAAGACGTTGAATATTGTATTATAAACTTAAAAGAGAGATAGAGAGAAGGGGAG